GTTGGGGGGCAGGAGCTGGACCCCGGGGGTCCCCATGTCTTGGGCTGCCCCATCTCCTGGGTCTTCATCCTTTAGGCTCCCCAGCCCAGCCCCTGGATCCCTCTCCCCATTTCCTGCGTCCCCATCCCCTGCGTCCCCATCCCATCTCCTGCATCCCCAGCTCCTTGGTCCCCATCTCCTGTGTCCCCTCCCCATCCCCTGGGTCCCCATCCCATCTCTTGGGTCCCCATCCCCTGGTCCCCATCCCATCCCCTGCATCCCCATCACCTTGGTCCCCATCTCCCGTCTCCCCTCCCCATCCCCTTGGTCCCCATCCCATCTTCTACAACCCCATCTCCTGTGTCCCCAGTTCCTGCATCCCCATCCCATCTCCTGTGCCCCCTCCCCATCCCCTGCATCCCCATCCCATCCCCTGGGTTCCCATCCCCTGGGTCCCCATCCCATCTCTGCATCCCCATCTCCTGGGTCCCCTAACCATCCCCTGCATCCCCAGCTCCTTGGTCCCCATCTCCTGTGTCCCCTCCCCATCCCCTGGGTCCCCATCCCATCTCTGCATCCCCATCTCCTGGGTCCCCTAACCATCCCCTGCATCCCCAGCTCCTTGGTCCCCATCTCCTGTGTCCCCTCCCCATCCCCTGGGTCCCCATCCCATCTCTGCATCCCCATCTCCTGGGTCCCCTAACCATCCCCTGCATCCCCAGCTCCTAGGTCCCCATCTCCTATGTCCCCTCCCCATCCCCTGGGCCCCATCCCATCTCCTGGGTCCCCATCCCATCTCTGTAGCCCCAGCTCCTTGGTCCCCATTTCCTGCATCCCCATCCCCATCTCCTGGGTCCCCATCTCCTGGGTCCCCATCCCATCCCCTGCCTCCCCAGCTCCTGTATCCCCATCCCCTGCATCCCCAGCTCCCGGGTCTGGTCCCCATCCCATCTCCCGTGTCCCCACCTCCTTACAGGGATGCTGCAAGGGGTGTAGGGGGGGCAAAGCACCCCCCAGATCATACCCCACACCCCTTGGGGAGGGGTGGGGGGAGGTGGAGCATCTCCAGACTCACACAGCACATAAAACAATTTCCAAATGATTTTATTTCAAACCCCCAACTCTCTTCCCTTCCCACCCCCCCTCCGACAACAGAAAAAAAGAACCAAACCCAAAACCAAACCAAACGACCCAAACCAAACCCCCGAAACCATCAGTCCCAAACGACGACAGAAAGGAGTTACAAACACAGAAATCAGCTCTCCCTCCCTGACGGCTTCACGAAAGAAAAAGGAGAAAAAAAATAATTCAAAATTCAAAAAAAATAAAAAAGAAAGGGAACGTCACGCCAGCTTCCCCCAAGAGGACCTGCAGCAGTTACTAACGGCTCCGCACGAGAGGCCAAACATGCCTATTAATACAATATATACAGACAAACCCACAGGTACAGCCAGGCTCCCCCCTCCCCACCCCCCCCAAAAATAACCAAACACACCCAAAAGTGCATTTTGTTGTGTTTATATCAAAAACATTTTCTTTTCTTTTTCTCTTCTGAAAGATTGGCCTGCAAGTCTGGTTTTTTGTTTTTCTTTTTTTTTGTTTTTCTTTTTTAAACCATTTAGTAACTTTTTAATATAGTTTATGAAAATAAATTATACAGCAACTATTTTAATAAATTAA